CCATTCAATAAATGCATTAATGGATGGGCAGGAGCAACAAGTAATGTTTTGGTGTGGACTCACGGAGGCTTAGAGTGTTCTGTGTGTCTCATCAATAACGCTGTGGAGTTTGAAGAAATCAAGTGATGTTGAAGAATTTCGATGTGAGTTCTAATTTGGTTGCTACTTTTCCATGGAATGGAAATAATTTAACCTCTTGCTTTAGTACACAGTTCATCTTCATGCGGTGTCTGTGGCTGATGTTGCTCTTGTTTGTTAATGTTGGTTACAAATATCTCATGGAGTCAAAGTTCAATCCTGAGTTCACACCTACTGGCACAGTCTGGCTGATACTGTCCTTAAATCATGTTTGGTGCAGAAGGCACAAATCAGGCACTGTCTTCTTGGTAAGGTTGAAACTCTGAAGGAAGTTACCCTACGACATTCCTTAATGAGCTGCACCTAAGGTCCGTACACATGGAAAAGGAGAGTAATGGCCGGTCTACCTCTGGTTAAAGTGAATTCCTGTTCTGCTGATCCTTTCATCTCCTTTCCTGCCTCTAACAACAGTCAAAAACGCATGTTTGCTAAAAACAAAGTGAAGTGCTTTATCTAATGATTACTTTCTGACTTCTGTACATACATCATTGTAAACTGGGTGGCTAAGAAGGCATTTAGCATGCTTGCCTTCATTGCTCAGACCATGAACATACAAGTTGGGACATCATGCTGAGATTGTACAGGATGTTGGTGAGGCTACTTTTGGAGTACTGTGTGCAGTTCTGTTCACCCTGCTGTAGGAAGTACAGTATTATATTGGAGAGGGTTCAGAAAGGATTGACATGGATGTTGCCGGGAATGGAGGGTTTAAGTTATAAGGAGAGTCATAGAGCTGTACAGCATGTAAACAGACCCTTCAGTCCAACTCGTCCATGCCAACCAGATATCCTGAATTAATCTAGTCCCATTTGCCAGCATTTGGCCCATATCCCTCTAAACCCTTCCCATTCATGTACCCATTCAGATGCCTTTTAAATGCTGTAATCGTACCAGCTTCTACCACTTCCTCTGGCAGATCATTTCATATCCGCACCACCCCCTGCATGAAAAAGTTGCCCCTTAGGTCCTATTTAAATGTTTCCCCTCTCACCTTAAACCTTTATTTTTTGACTCCCCTATCCTGGGAAAAAGACCTTGTCTATTTACCCTATCCATACCCCTCATGATTTTACTCTACCTTCAAAGAACTATGAACCTGCATTTCAAGGTCTCTTTGTTTGGCAACACTCCCCAGGACCTTACCATTAAGTGTATAAGTCCTGCCCTGATTTGCCTTTCCTAAATGCAGCACCTCACATTTATCTAAATTAAACTCTATCTGCCACATTGGCCCTTGGGCCTCTACAAGGTCCCATTGTACTCTGAGATAACCTTCTTCACTGTTCACTACGCCACCAATTTTGGTGTCATTTGCAAACTTACTAACCATCCCTCCCATATTCACATCCAAATTATTTATATAAATGACAAAAATCAGTGGACCCAGCACTGATCCTTGCGGCACATCAACAAGCCTCCAGTCCGAGAAACAAACCTCCACCACTACCTTCTACCTCCTACCTTCAAGCTAATTTTCTATCTAAATGGCTAGCCCTCCCTGGATTCCATGTGATCTAATCTTGCTAACCAGTCTACCATGCAAATTCGTGAAAAACGTCATGCTGAAGTCCATATAGACAATGTCCACTGCCTCTGCCTTCATCAATGTTCTCCTTCAAAAAAACTCAATCAAGTTAGTGAGACATGATTTCCCACACGCAAAACTATATTGACAATCCCTAATCAGTCCCTGTCTTTCCAAAAACATGTAAATCCTGAACCTCCAACAACTTACCCACCACCGATGTAGTTCTCTGGCGTTTCCTTACCACCTTTCTTAAATAATGGCAACATTTTAGACACCCTCCAGTCTTCCGGCATTTGATGGTACAAATATCCCAGCCAGGGGCCCAGCAATCACTTTCCAATGGGAAGAGACTGGGACTTTTTCCACTGGAGTGTAGGAGTTTGAGAGCTAACCTTATAGAAGTTTATAAAATCATGAGGGGCATAGATAAGGTGAATAGTAAAGGTCTTTTCCATAGGGTAAGGGAGTTCAAAACTAGAGGGCATGTTTTTAATGTGTGAGGAGAAAGATTTAAATGGGACCTGAGGGGCAACTTTTTCACGCAGAAGATGGTTTGTATGTGAAATGAATTGCCAGGGGAAGTGCTAGATGCAGGTATACATGTAAAAGATATTTGGATAGGTACATGAATATGAAATGGTTAGTAAGTTTTCAGATGACACCAAAATTGGTGGCGTAGTGGACAGTGAAGAAGGTTATCTCAGAGTACAATGGGACCTTGATCAGATATGAAATAGGTTAGGAGGATATAGGCCAAATGCAGGCAAGTGGGACTAATTTAGTTTGGGAAACGTAGTTGGTATGCATGAGTTGGAGGGAAGAGTCTGTTTCCTGGCTGCGTAACTATGACTCTAAGTTAAAAACAATTAACTTCCCTCCTGGAAATGTTGGGAATAAATTTCTTTGGTGTTTTCCTTGTTCCTTTACTGTACACTTGGGCCATATTTGGCAGAAATTCCATTTGTACACTTAAATGGAGTTTCCCTGTGCAAAAACCTCAATCAATGTTTTAGTGGATTAGAAGGATCTCCCATAAATTTACTCTTCCCACACTATTTCCTAATTTAATTCAATTCATTTGGCCAGTTGCGATTCTATCAAAGTGGGAGGTAAAGCCAATCAGTTCAAATACAAACATGCTGTATGAATGCTTGACAGTCTATCTGACTCAATAGATATGTAAATAATTGTTTGGCTCTTGCTTTGAATACTAATTAGCCTGTGCTTTCCAGTTTAATGAATTTTATCCCTAATGATAAGGATATGTAACCACAATCTCCAGTAAATAATAGCTAATTTACTTAACATGGCTCAATAAACTATATTTACTCAAGAATGAAAGTGACCAAGGTATTTTTAGGAATCAAATATCATTATAACTACATTTTAGTCATGCTGTTATTTCATCCTTCCAGTTTTAAAAATTGCAGACACAAGTTCAAATAGGTCAGTTCCCAGCCGAGATCTTTCTACACAGTAGGAATAGTGAGGCTACAGTGATATTGTTGACTTTTGAGATTGTTATGTATAGCAGATTTGGAAATAGAGCGAGGCAATCCATAACCATTGCAAGACATCAGCACAGGATATCTGGTCAATGTTTTGGAAGGGATTCTTTTGTTGTTCCTGTACCTCATTTAAAAGTTTAAAGTTTTTACATTTCTAAACTTAATGTAGTGTCACTTGATACTCCTTTACCATTTTCAATTACCATCAGCAAGAGTGACTTCAAATTTAACAGAAAACAGGTCAAAAATCATTCTCCAGCACAGTTAAGAAGTTGCATAGAGGAAGGAACAAACCACAACATATGAGGTAACCAAAAAAAGGAAGGAAGAGAATCAAGGGGAAACTGAGCTTACATGAATTAGCATTTTGACTTGTAAAGATTTGTTGAGCGATTCTCTTGCATCCCTTGGCTTACATTTTGCAATATGAAGTCCAGTAGAAATCTTGGATTACTTCCTTTGAAACATTTAGCTTCACAGTTAGGAATCCTTAATGGTGTGACTGTACTTGTAATCTCAGCTTTCCTTGGGAACATGTGCCTCCACCTTTGGTCTGCTCTATAAGTGGGTATATTGGGAGACCAGTGAATGAGTCCAGATGCCCTTTTTGAGCATCTCTGTGTTGACTATCTTCTGTACTCAATGTCACAAATAGGGCAATTCCCACGGCAAAACCCTTTGGTGGCAGTAAAAGGATTGCAGCAAAAGTAAGTAAACAAATTGGCACAAAGAAACACAAGAACCTAAACTGAGTAATAACAGTGAGAAAAGAATTCTTGGAATGGGTTGAAATACACATTTCTTAATATTATTATGACTTTAAAATTAAGTTCTATTGATTTGCTAGTACCAGTATCATATACCTGGAAATTGTGGGAATGGATAATTTTAACACCAACATTAATGAATGCATATCATGCACACCAGAAACCTGGGACCATTGTGCAGGATTGCCCACTCGGTAAAATAAAGTTAAATGAATTCAGTTTATATAAAGTGTCTGCTTTCTGTATAGAGTTTCCTTACCTCTAGGGGATTGTGAGATGCACAAAATGGGTCCATTTCAGATAAATAATTTTGTGCTGTTAATGTGGGTGCAAGTTCATAAGGGTGTTTAGTACTCAAAAGAATTAAACTGCATTGTTTCATTTTTCATGAGGCATGGGTGACATGGGCAAGGCCAGCAATTATTGCCCACTCTGAATTGCCCTAGGTTTGCTTGGGTTCCATTTCAGACAGCATTGCTATGGGTCTGGAGTCACATGTAGGCCAGATTGGGTAAGGACAGCCAATGCCCTTCCTTAAAGTGAACCAGATGAGTTTTTATGACAATCAGCAGTAATTTTATAGCACCATTGCTAAGGCTAGCTTTCAGTTCCAGATTATTTTCTCATTCACTAAATTTAAATTCCACTAGTTGCTGTGATGGGGCTTGAACACATACCCCAGAGCATCAGTCTGGTCCTCTAAACTAACCAGTGGTATGACACAACACTGCCATTGCTCCCTTCAACTAGTCATTGATGCTGTGACTATTGTAAACTGAATCCTTTTCCTGAATCTAGACCCGCGTTAATAACCCAATATGTAGTGAATCTTTGCCAAGCATCTGATCATGTTCAACTGACTGACAGCCTCAGGTCTAGTGAGTTGGGGCACATTAACTGGAAACTGTAGGCTCCCGAGCGTCTTTTTGAATGAAATGTATGTTCTTATTATTTGAATGTGGCAACTCTGACAAACTACCATACATAGAATAGACTGTCAGTGTGTTCCATATTGGGCATTCCAGCTCAATGGCAAATAAAAAGGAATGTACTAATTACCCTCGCAGTGAGGAAGAGGTTGGCTCCAGGTTCCATTAGCGAGGCAGGTGATGTTCTGAGGCCCAACAAGGTGGTAACCAACATTACAAACAAAGGTGATGTTACTCATGTACGAATCTCCAGTTCCAATACTCACTGCATTATCCACTCCTGAGTGCGGTTCACAGCTGATTCCTTTAATGAAAGACAAAATCCTGCTATTAGCAGGTCAAGTATATGAAGAAAACTGATGATCTGGTGACCTGACACTGTGAACAGAGTATGGAGCGGGGATTGGGGTTCCGCAAACAGAGGATAGTCCCCAGAATCATAACCTGTCACGGGGATTCAGCGCACTGGTGCAGAGTATTGACATTGTCACGGTGGAGGAGAATTACTCAGACATTTTGGGGGATGCTTCTGAAAAGCCGTGGCCCTGGAACCAGCAAGAGGTCGGAGAGGAGATCGTGGTAAAGGGCCAAGAATTTTGACGGGGAGGGAGCAAGCATTTTAATGGTCATATCAGAAAGATCTGGTTAAGTGCTGATCATGAAAAGATTGGTGTTATAAGTCTCAATTTTGCCTGGAAATGGTTGGCTGTGAAGAGCGAATGAAAGGTCATTTTTTTCCAATCAGTTTTCATCACTGAAGGAAAACAGAAATTTGCCATGAGTTTCCACTGGATTGAAATGCTGAGCACGTAGCCACTCACCTCGATATTATACACCAGGCTGAAATGTTTCACTTCTTTAAAACTGAAATATATTAATGTATGAAAATCAGCTCAGGGGAAGCGATGGCCTAGTGGTAAAATCGCTGTTAATTCAGAGGCCCAGGTAATGTTCTGGGGTTTGAATCCCACCATAGCAGATGGTGGAATGTGAATTCAATAAAAATCTGGATTTAACAGTCTAATGATGACCACAAATCATCCATTATTGATTGTTGGGAAAATACCATCTGGTTCACTAATGTCCTTTAGGGAAGGAAACTGCCATCCTTACCTGGTCTGACCTACATGTGACTCCAGACCTGCAGCAATGTGGTTGACTCTTCACTGCCATCTGGGCAACTAGAGATGCTAGCCTAGCCAGCGATCACCTCATTATTAGATTTAGGGCTCATCAAGTGGCCAAAGAAATTTTTTAAAAATCTGACATTATTTATAAACGCCCCGTATAACCAAAGCAAAATATTGCAGATGCTGAAAATCTGACATAAAAAAGAAAGTGCTGGAAAATCTCAACAGACCGTGCAGCATCTGTGAGAGTGAGATAAACTGATACTACAAGTGGATGATGACTCAAAATCTGGATACAATACTCTCTCCTCAAATGCTGCAAGACCTTCTGACTTTTTTTCTGCTTTTGCTGTTTTTTTTTATAACCTATGATTTTTCACTCTGCCTTCATTTGCTGCAGTGTCCTGAAGACTGGTCTTTAAGTTTGAGCAATCCCGGGACAATCCCAGAGAATTGATCATCCTAGAGATAATGCTAGTCATTATGAGGAAGATGGTGAAGAATATTAAATAAAATGAGTAGATTAGAGACAAACTGCACTTCCAGATGAAAAACATCATCTATGAGGGGTTTGCTATTCTGCTCTAAGCTCCTAAATGGCATCTTATATCCTGATTTCATTGAATGGGTCCCATCCAGAAGAAGGGGAGTCTGAAGAAGATTCATACAGGACTCGAAATGTTGACTGTTTCTCTCTCCACAAATGCTGCCAGACCTGCTAAGTTTGTCTTGTCCAGCATTATTTCTGTTTGCTTCTCATTTCAAGCATCTGAAGTATTTTGCTTTTGTTTGAGCGCTAAATAAATTTTGACAGGATTTCTAACATGGAAGTTTAAATTTTTTTGAGAATGTCAACAATTTGTTTTGAAAAAACATATCATGAAACAATCCCTATTGCGAATGAGGTACTATTTATAATAAAAGGGATGACTGTGTGGTCTGTCTGAAATCAGATCATTGGCCCACTATCTGCTGATGCTTCAGCCTGTTTTACTGTCGGCAGTGTTTTGCTTTTCCAAAAAGATATTTCCCCAGTCTGTTTTTGCTAGAATGGGAATTGAACCAACACTGTTGACATGATTCTGAATCATATGCCAACCATGGAGCCAAATGAGCTAACCAGGCCCCAATGCGAAGGCCAGTCCATCAATGAATATTGAAATAAACTGATACAACACATTGATTGAGTTCTTTTCATGGGCTGGAAATATTGAATAACTGGCATTAGCTACTTTGTCAGCTGAACACTGCAGTGAGTTGCATGCAGTTGATAATTAAATCTGCAGAAATAGGTCCATAAATTCTGTCAAAAATCACATGACACCAGGTTATAGTCCAACAGGTTTATTTGAAAATGCAAGCTTTCGATGCCTTGTTCCTTCTATCACCTGCAGAAGGAGTAAGATTGCGAAAGCTTGTGTTTTCAAACAAACCTGTTGGACTATAACCTGGCGTCATGTGATTTTTGACCTTGTTCATCCTTGTCCAACACTGGCACCTCCACATCATAAATTCTGTGACATGGCTCACATTATGATATTGTGACTTTAAAGCAAATGTACAAAAACCCTGTTTATATACGTAAACAGGTTTTTCTTGGGGTAGTCATGGTAAAAACTAAGAAATAGCAGAACAAGTTGGACCTTCCGGCCCTTGAACCTGCTCTACTGTTCAGTCAAATCATGGCTCACTTCTATCTTAACAGCATTTTGTTGCACTATCCTCATATCCCTTGATTCCTATATTGTCCAAAAACAAACAAATTCTGTCTTGAAATATACTCACCAATTGAGTATCATCAGCTCTCTAAGGTAGAAAATTGCACAATTTACAACTCTCAGATAAAAGAAATTTCTCCTCAGATCAGGCTGAAAAGTGTGAATCACAATATATGTCTGTTAATTGTAGTAGCCTCTAGTTTGAGATTCTGCAGTCAGGGAAACAGCCTCCCTCCATCAAAATGTCAATGATACCTTCCTCTAAATCATAATCGACAAATTAAAATGATTAACTCCAGTAATCCCAGCTGAGCAATGGTTAGACAGCTGATATTCTGAATCCAGCACTTGGTGCCTTGGCTCAGTGGATTAAAGGTCTTTGCCTGGTAAATGCAGGATCTTGAATTTGATTCTCAGCAGTTTCGGTCTCACTGTTTCCTGAAAACACATTCTGAATTAATTACCTCATTCCTGAAAGTACTTACTCTGACAGGAAGCCTCTGTTCCATTCCATGTCCCATCTGCTTGGCAGAATCTCTCCACATTGCCCTGTAACAGCAATAAGTAACAATAACTAGAGAATGCAGTGCCCTGAAAGTGGCATCCTGCACCTTGCTAAATAGGATTCGTGTAGATAGGATGATGCAGCGTCAGGCTAAAGTGACTCTTCTGTGCTGTATGACTCCATGACCATCTGCAAAATCCCAGTTCTGTGTTTGATTCAAATTATTCCTCGCAATACATTGGTGCATGTAATCCCAACCTGCTTTTGATTTTTGCACTGCTGGTGGGGGAGCTGGGAGGAAGAAAGGAATTTTCCAAACCATCTTTTAAATGTGTAAATCTCCCTGCTGCACAATCCCTCTCTCCACCTTTAAAGCTGCTTCTTAAAACCTACTGAGCTTTTGCACAGTAAAAATCAAAAGAACTGCAGATGCTGTAAATCAGAAACAAAAACAGAAATTGCGAGAAATGCTCAGCAGGTCTGACAGTATCTGTGGAGAGAAATCAGAGTTAATGTTTTGGGTCGAGTGATCCTTCTTCAGAACTGCTGATAACTAAAAAACTGTTGGTTTATATGCAGAAGATAGGATGGGTGGAGCTGGTAGGGAATAAATGACAGGTGGTGATGGAGCCCAAAAGAAGAACAGTTGGACAGACAAAGGAGTGGATAATGATCTGGCTAGGAGGGTGAATAGCTATTAATGGGGTCTGTTAGTGGCTCACACTGGGTTGTAAGTAACAGCAAATAACAAGGCCTAGTGTGTGGGAGTTGGGGTAAGGACATGGAGGAGTTCAAGCCCTAAGATTATTGAGTTCAGAAGGCTGCATGGTCCCCAAGTGGAAAATGAGATGCTGTTATTCCAGCTTGCACTGAGCTTCCTTGGTGCACTGCAGCAAGCCTGAGACAGAGATGTTGGCAAGGGAACAAGGTGGTATGTTGAAGTGGCAGGCAACTGGAAGCTCATTGTTAGTCACGAACAGTCCCCTATTAATAGCAATTCACCCTTCTTGCCAGATCGTTATCCACTCCTTTCTGTCCAACTGCTCTTCACTCTCTTTGAGTTTTATCCCCACCTACTGTTTACTCCTTACTCCCCGTCCCCCACCCTCTTATCTGCATATAAACCGACATTTTCTTAGCTACCATCAGTTCTGAGGAAGGGTCACTTGACCTGAAATGTTAACTTGATTTCTCTTCACAGATGCTGCTGAGCATTTCGAGCTTTTGCTCAGGATTGGTCAGGATTTAATGCTTTTCGATCTAAATGTTGAGGGCAGGTCACTTTAATGGTGATTAAACCCTCCTCTCACCAGTGAGAAAGACTGCCAGCACATAAGCGCCGACTGACAGGCTTCTTGTCCCTGTTAAATGCTTAATTAGAAAAATCCTGTATCGTCTGCCAGCGAAACAAAGACCAGGAAGTAAGACAGAGAATGTTGGAGAAACTCAGCAGGTCTGGCAGCATTAATGGACAGAGAAACACGGAGTATAGTTAAGACTGAGTTAGATAGCTTTTTGATGGATAAGAGAATCAAATGTTATGGTAGTGGACAGGAAAAGGGAGTTGTGTCTGCACTCAGATCAACCAGGACCTAATCAAAAGGCAGGCAGCCTCAAGGGGCCAAATGGCCTCCTCTGTTTCTACTTCTGTGTTCTCAAGTTGTACAAGCTCAACTAGGAAAGGCCACTAAATGATAGAATCCTACAGCACAGGAAAGAACCAGTTAGCCCAATGTGCCTTTATCTGCTCTGAGAGCATTACCAGTTACTTTCACAACCGCTTTGCTATTGCCCAAAGCTCAAGAAAAGTTATTTTGAAAGTTATTACTGAATCTGATTTCCCCAGTGCTTACAGGCAGTGCATTCTGGATCAAAATAATTGCTTCATTTAAAAAAGAAGTTACCACTTAAGAGATAGTAGGAACTGCAGATGCTGGAGAATCTGAGATAACAAGGTGTAGAGCTGGATGAACACAGCAGGCCAAGCAGCATCAGAGGAGCAGGAAGGCTGACGTTTCGGGCCTAGACCAGCTCTACACCTTGTTATCACTTTTCTTAAACCTGTACCCTCTAGCTATCAAACCAATGGGAACCAGCCAAACGACTCTCAAAATGACAAACACTAGCTGTGCCAGTGATGCCCATACTGTTTTTAAAGAATGCCAGCAAGGAGTTAAATTTTAAGAAATGTCAGATGAATGCAATTTGATTTTTAAAATATTGAAGCAATTTTAAAAGAAAGGCATAGAAACAAGAAAAGGTACCTGTAACCCATAGCCGTTATCACATTGATAAGTTATACTGTCTTGATATACGTAGCTGGTTCCCTTAATTGAGCCATGCAATGGAGGGAGTAGCTCCTCACACAATACGGGGTGACACAGAATATCTGAAATTGGTGGATTCCAGAAACCATTCTGCCGAAACATTCGAAAGTAGATTAAAACAATCATACATGCAAAGCCAACGTGAAAGACAATTGCATTAAAAATTAGTCTTTATCATATAAATGATTGCAATTATATTTGGAGTCATTATTTATCTGCACTGCATTTAACAAATTTAGACATGTTGACCAATATGTGAAGCACACTATCCCATTGTGGTGAATATGAGCAATCATTAAATAGGAAGCTAGGGAGACATAGGAGGGTGCAAGGAACAGAAGGAAGGGAGAACAGGGCAAGATGAAATTAAAAAAAGTTGGAGGAAGCTCATGTAGAACATAAGCATGTGTATAAATCAATTGACATTTTATAAATCCTGTAAATAGCTGGCTCTGAATCTTGTTACTCTCTTGATGCTTTTACTTGGATTAATTAAGATGGGTATGTCTATAAGGTTCATTAAATTTATACAAGCCTTGATTTAACATGTGGAATGCCTGTGAAAGCCTATGCAATGCACTGACTTATTTGTACAGTACTTTACTGCAATGGTTTCACAATACATGCCATGAATTATTAATATTTTGTTAGTAAGAAATGAACTATCCATCTAACTGGAAGCAGTACACAATATGATTGCTGTATTTCCTACATTGCAAGACTGCTACACTTCAAGAAGTATTTCATTGGTTGTGAAGCCCTTGGGATACCCTGAGGTTGGGAAGAGGTACTACATAAATGTAAATCTTTTCCATATTGCAAGAAAAACAATGCCTTACAAAATTAAACCCTAGAACCACAGCACATCACATCAGTATTACAACAAATTAGAAAGAATTTACAGCTATTCAGCCTCACTGATCAATGCTTGCATTTATGCTGTGAATGAACCACCTTCCATTTTACTTCACTCCCTACAATCTGTATAACTTCTTATTCCTGCAAATATGCTATATTTTATAAACAATATTCTATGTATTTGCAAATATGAAATTGAATGTCCCCTGGTGAATTTCATACACACCTATAGAAAACTTGTATGTGTATCTAACACAACTTTACTAGGAGTACTTACCTGACAGACAGACAGGTTTGCTCCTGACAGTCTGTATCCTTCTTCACAGGAGATGATAATACTTTCATTAAGTGTAAATTGTGTTCCAGAAACAACAACATTTGCCATTTTGCTCATTGGCAGAGGGCAAGTCTGTAGATTGCACAGAATACTGTGATTGGACCAAGAGCCATCTTCTAAGCATGTTCTTGTATCTTTCTCAGCTTCCATTACATAACCCTCGAAACATCTGCAAAAAGACAAGTTGCTCTTAAATACTTGCTGCCTGAAGATCAAATGTTCATGTTTCAATTCTCAAATATTCAACAAAATGCAACTTCATATATGATTAGTGATTCCATAATTATGACCAGACTAAAGATAATTTTACTTGATTAATTGAATTCAGAAGTGACAACTTGACAATAACCATCTAAATACACTCAAAAGAAATGTAGCTGAACACTTTTAGATGGGAATAATACAGGGAACAGTAGATCAGGTTAATCTGGGAGCTAAGTTAAAACTCATCACAAGTGTTATTTGCTGAAAAACATCTCAATTTTGACTGGTACAGATAGAGATAAAATATATTCAGGGACTAATCACTCTAACAGCTATGTTCATATACCATGTAATAATGCAAGAGAAGTGGAGGAGGAAATATGCGGAACACTTAGCGAAATGAGTACAAAATGTGACACTCTTCAGGTGGAGCATTCTATGATTTCACTTGGACCTAAGTGTAGTCCATGCAAGAATTTTAGACAGCCATCGCATTTACACCCTCAGCTATCCTTTAGCTTGTACATCTTCCTTTTAAAAGAATATGTTATACTTAAAGTTTCAAAATATCCAGAAGCGATTTAGGCTTCAGTACATTTTCATGACATGTTCCATTGCTAGTCTTTATGTTCCTTCTCCCTCATATGGTTGTCAGCTTCCCTTTAAATGTATCTATTATCTTTTCTTTAATCACTGCCTATGGTAACACAGTATGCATAATTTTTAGGATTTTTGAGACAATGTTCTATGAAAGACTAGTGAATGAGCAACACTTCAAAAGGATGGATGCCCTTCAAATACCGAACTGTAAGTCTCAAATGGGTTTGCCCTAGACTACAGACATAATAAATAAATTGAAAAACAAATGGCAGTTCTGGGTGAAATAAATATGTTTGTGTTTTATCATTCCAGAATTGCACAAGGGGGTTAAAAACCAACTGCAACCACTCATCTGTATGTGTGCAAGTAGGCTAGAGAGCTGGTGTGCTAGCGGGCTGGCTTGTAGTTCAAGTTCTACTGTATTAAAATGTGCTGTGAAGAGGCAAAGTTGAGAAATCCCACTAGAAATCCTGCATGTGGAGGTGAAAATAAACAAAATCTCTCTCTGGTTGCTGAACGCAAGGCAGCGTGGCCATTTTCGAAGGTAGCTGCAGAACCAAGAATCTCCAAGCAACTGCTCAACTGGCAGAGTCAATGCTACCACTATATTTCATAAGGAATTCATCACAGACGAGACTTTGTCTGGTCTGTGTTAAATTTCTTTTTAACCTTTGTCCTTTTGAACCTATTTTTCATTTCTAATCTGTGTGAACATGTGTCACATTTTATTATCTTTTCTCACATTTTGATACTTGATAAACTCAATCTTTCGTGAATTAGTGAAATTGGTTAAATTCCCTTGTTTTAAAAGGTATCCATGAGGGAAGGGATCCTTCTATGCTAGCCTTATTACAACCAAGGGAGTAGCAAAATAAAGAAAACGAGCCAGTTAATCCCTCACCTGGGATCAAAATGAATTGGGGACCCATGCACAGGGACCAGTTGTATTTCATTTCTGTGATGTTTGTCCTGTATAGTACTGTATAAGATTGGAAATGCTACAGTCAATTTTTCTTGGTGCACCAATGCTCTGTAGGTACAGATTCTTTAAATGGCAACCTGTTGGTTCCATCCTTGGACTGGGACCTTTCCCAGACCAGAGGCTAGGCTGATAAGGGAAAGAAATGATCATCTTTATGTTGGATCGCTCAATGACCATGACCAATCACCAGCTCTCTAATGTCCTCAAGTACTGCAAACCTCCAAGACTTCTGTACTCTTCCAGTCTGCCCTCTAACACATTCTTATCATCTGTTGCTCCACAATTGCTGGCTGTTCCTAAAGCTGCCCCTGTTCTGAACTTTGGAATTGATTCCCAAAACCTCTCCACCTCTCTCCTCCCCCTTTAAGGTGCTCTTTCAAGTCTACTTTTTGATTCATCTTCTGGTCTCTTGGTCTAAATCGCCTTGTGGCTCAGTGTCAAGTTTTGCCTGGTGATGCTACTTTGAAGCACCTTGGGGCCTTCATGCTTTACTTATTTCTAAAGGCTATACAAATGCAAATTGTTGTTGCTTCATGACAACTCACACTAAGGCACTCTGTCTTTGGACCGAATCGCGACAACTATTATCTATCACATACCGCCCCATGAATCTCCAAATACAACATGTCATCCTCTGCCATTTTCGCCATCTGCAATCAGAACCCACCACCAAAGAGATATTCCCCTCCCCAACCCTATCTGCTTTCCATAAGGACCACTCACTCCGCAACTCCCTCATTCGCTCCACCCTCCCCACCAACTCTTCCACCACACCCGGCACCTTACCGTGCGACCGCAGGAAGTGCTACACCTGCCCCTACACATGCCCCTCACTTCCGTCCATGCCCCAAACAATCATTCCAAATCCGAAAGGGATTCACCTGTACGTCTTCTAACCTGGTCTATTGCATCCATTGCTCCTGATGTGGTCTGCTCTACATCGGAGAGACCAAGCGCAGACTTCGGTGACTGATTCGTGGAGCATCTGCATTCTGTACACTCCAATCAATACCACTTTCTGGTTGCCAGCCATTTCAACTCTCCCTCCTACTCCCTTGGCAACATGTCCATCCTCCACTGTCACAATGAGGCCACACATAAACTGGAGGAACAACACCTTATATTCTGTTTCGAGAGCTTATAGCACAATGGCCTCAACGTAGAAATCGCCAGGTTCAAAATCTCCCCAGCCCCAGCCTCATCCCAGGTCCAGCCCTCCCTCTTGTCCCCACCTCCTTGACCTGATACAACCTGTCCATCTTCCTACTCAGCTATCCGCCCCACCCTTCCCATTGACCAATCTCTACAACGCCCTACCTGCATCCACCTATTACCAACCCACCTACCTTCCCCCAGCTCCACCCCTCTCTATTTATTTCTGAGCTCCCTTCCCCTTCGCCAGTCCTGATGAAGGGTCCTGACCCAAAACATCGATTTTCCTGCTCCTTGGATGCTGTGCTCTTCCAGCTCCACATTTTTATCAACTCTGACTTCCAGCATCTGCAGTTTTTACTACCTCCAAGACATTCTGTCATGTCAAGTTATTGTGGTATAGTTCAGAGCAAATGGCAATGTGGTTGACTCTGAATTGCCCTCTGGGCAATTGGGGATGGGCAATAAATGCTGGCCTTGCCAGTGATGCCCTTATCCCATGAATGAATTTAAAAAAATCATCAGACTTTGCATAATTTGAACTGTTTCTCAGCCTGAAGAAAATTAGGAGAGAAAGCGGAGAATAAAATAAATGACAAATGTGGCAGTAAAGAATGTAAAGGAAACAGGTTTCTGGTTTGCAAGTGAATTTGGATTAAAACAATATGAGAAAATTGGCACAAAGATTATGGTCTGGCTTTCCAGAGGCAAATTGAGTAACTGCTCTCCCCCAACTCTACCTCACATCGTGGGGGAGCTGTGTTTGCATACACTGCAATATCGCTTGATCAGCAATCTAGTGTCACCCACCAACTCCTGGTAATGCGAAAGGGAAGTGAATAATGAGATCAGAAGCCAGATCCCCACACTTCATGGAAAAGCTAATAAACTGCAATGTCTCCTGGCACACTCCATTTTACGGGAGGCAGATGGAGAAACATTTGGAGTGAGTTACACTGGGGTGGGCACAAGGGTGTCCAAAAAGGCCTACGGGTGGATCCACGGGTGCATGAAGCAGCAGAGTCTCCTACTGAAGGTGACAACATCTGGCTGTTAGTGGACTTGATTTATTCTCCTGTTGTAAAGTTCCAAAAGAAGGAGAGAATGAGGGAACAGGAAGTCTCTAAATTTGCGACTGCAACTGACATCCAGTTCATTGCTTAACCACATTCCTGCCGGACATCCCACATTAGACAGATGATTTGATGTGGTGCCCCCTTGCCTACACTAATTGGTTGGATTCCCATTGTCTGCCCACTGCTTGATTTAATGTAATGTACTGGTAGGACCAGGAGTGATTGAGCTGTGCACCTCCCCTTTCATCTCCCTCACCCCACATTGACCTGTAAATCCAACTGCGAGATGAAGGTAGTTAAAAAGGGAACATATTGGACCCAAACAACGCAGAATGAATTAGCCTTGCACCAATATCAGGTAGAATAATTGATTCAAGAGAATAACATTAAAAGATCCACGGAACTTAGGCAATGTAGTCCTTACCTATAACCAACTTTACTCCCGAAGGTGTGCAGGTCTCCTGTTATAGCAGCGTTCTGCACTGGTGGAGGAGGACCACAGAGCAGGGGCACACATGTTGGGTATGGTCGACTCCATCTCCCTCTTTCTGTGCAGAAAACCGCTGGCTTCCCCTTCATGGTGTAGCCAGGCAAACAGTTGTAGGCTATGGCATTTTCATGCACGGAGCTGCTTCCGTTAAAGAATGCATTGCGAATCAATGGAGGTGTGCCACAAGAAATCCGGCCGCAGTACGGAAGGCTCGAATTCCAAGAGCCTCCATCTTCACACAGAACCTGTGAGGGGCCCAGCAACTTGAAACCTTCCTTGCATTGGAAGGATATTATGCTGCCACAGGCAATATTGTGGCTTGTAGCAAATCCATTGTGTACAACTGGCTGTGGGCACTTGCATGGTTCACATTCTGGGACACTGCCACTCCAAGAGCCATTTTGTAGACAATGTCTAACTAAGGTCCCTGTGAGTTTGTATCCGAGAAAGCAGATGTACTTTACAGAGTCACCAAATCTGAACCTAGACCCATTTATGAATCCATAGGAGATATCTTCTGGAGGTCCGCAGCTGATGGGCACACACTGTGGTGCCTCATCACTCCACTTTCCATCTTCCTGGCACGCGATACTGGGCGCGCCATGCAATAGGTAACCATCCTTGCACTGGAATCCTATTTCCTTCCCAAGCGTGAATTCAAATCCTAAGGCTTTCCCATTCCGTATATCTGCAAGTGGTGGACATGCTATAAAGCTGCATTCCGGCATCTCCCCACTCCAACTCCCATTAGCAAGACAGGTGCGAGTCTGATCCCCCTGAATCAGGAAACCAAAATTGCAACTATAATTGGCCATGCTCTGGAACGTATGATCTCCTGCAGTCACGTTGCCGTTGCTGGGAATGGGAGGTGACCCACAGGAGATTGGGACACACTGTGGCTCTATACCATCCCATTCTTTATTGGCCTGACAGGTTCTCCTCTTGATCCCAACAAGTGAAAATCCAGAGTTGCACTCGTATACAATCACACTGGTGTAAGTGTAGTTACTGCCCTTCACAAAGCCATTTGCAATTTGGCTGGGGACTCCACACAATATAAGTTGACACGCTGGGTTTGCAGTACTCCATTCACTACGCGATGTACAATACCCAGTAGCTGAACCAACAAGCTCATATCCAGGGTCACACACATATTGTATCACACTCCCAACCAGGTTGCTTGAAAAAGTAATGTGTCCATGTTCTGGCTTAATTGGGAGCTCACACTCTATCAGTAGACAGGATGGGGCACTTCCATTCCATGAGGCATCTTCTTGGCACTCCAGCACATTAGACCCTAAGAGCTTGTAGCCACTGTAACAGTAGTAATGAATGACAGTGCCACTAAAGAACTCAGAAGACTGCAGAAGGTCTAAGTTTGATGGAGTATTCCATATTTGCTTGCCATTACTGGAACTCATTTGCTGTGAAGCAGAAGTTGGAATACCATTGTTTGTTCCAAGGTCTGATGTGAGGAGGTTGCTCATGGTGCGAGAGTCGCGTTCCTGACGGCTGGGCTGTACGTAGCTTTCAAGTCCTTCACTGCCTTGTCTGTCCTGACTTGGGATGACCACGTAGCCCCCAAAATCGATATGAGGTGGGAGGCCACAGTCAATGGGTGCACAGTAAGGAAGAGCACTAGACCAGGATGATTCCTTACAGATGTGCATGGAGTTCCCAATTAAGTGAAAGCCAGGAAAGCAGCTGTAAAAAATAAGAGCTCCAAAGCTGTAATCAGAGCCTTCAACAAAACCATTTTCTATAAGCTGAGGTGGATCACATTTGATGGGCTTGCAGACAGGGGCCTTCGCATTCCATTGACCTGTCTCCAAACAAGTCAGTCTTTCCTGGCCTTCCAGTCTAAAGCCCGTGTTGCACATGTATGTGACGGTATCTCGATAGTACAATTTCTCAAACTCAGCTCTACCACTTGCTATTTCTTGGGGAACAGGGCATTCAATGGGTTTGCAGATTGGCCTTCTCCCTTGCCATTTACCATCTTCACCACAAATCACAGTGGTATTTCCCATCAGCTGAAACCCTGGCTTACATGTGTATACGGCTTTGCCAAGGTAAGTCAGTCCCTGGATGTCCACAATTCCATTGCCAATCAGCTCTGGCTGTGGGCATTCCACTGCCACACATTCTGGCACAGGGGAGCCCCACTTTCCATTGGCTTGGCAAATTAGGAACGGCTTCGCCTTTACTACAAATCCATCAGCGCAGGTGTAGTTGGCAACGCTGCCAAAGTGAAGGTCAGAAACTAAAACCTCGCCGTATTGGATCTCTGGGGGCCTCCCACAAATAACAGGTGTGCAAACTGGAAAGGAGTTATTCCACTGCTGAGAGGACAGGCACTTCAAAATCGTTGGCCCCTCTAAGGTGTACCCCTCCATGCACTCTAGCCGAATGATCCCAGTCTTTTCTGTCTCATGGACAATCAGGTGACTCTCCTGCCCTGGGGCCAATGGCTCCGGGCACCTTAGCCGACGACACTCTGGCATCCGGTTTCCACCCCATTTGCCGTCACCCCGGCAGGTCAACACTGGATCTCCAGAGACAGCATAACCTTCCTCGCAGTAGAGTTCAACTTGTGAGTCTAGATGGGAATCTGACCCCTTGAAAAGCCCGTGTTCAATGCTTGGAGGATGCCCGCAGTTTACAAGCACACAGGAAGGTGATGACTCACTGTACCAGTGCCGATTCCCCTGGCAGGTACGAATGGGACTGCCCACCAACTGGTAGCCATGATTACAATAGTATCTGACTTTACTCTGAAACAGGGTGCCATTTTTTATCTGCAGTCCAAGAGAAGGAACAAGAAATTCATTATCTATTGTTTTGTATCTCCAACAGTCAATTTCATTATTCTTGGGAGCGAAAGCTAATGCTTAACATGTCCCCCTCTCCAAACATGTAAAAGCAATCCATACAGTAGCTCAGTGGTTAGCACTGCTGCCTCACAGTGTAGGGGCCTAGGTTCAATCCCAGCCTTAGACGACTGTCCGTGTGGAGTTTGGACATTCTCCCCATGTCTGCATGGGTTTCCACTGGATGCTCTGGTTTCCTCCCACAGTCCAAAGATATGCAGGCTGAGTGGATTGGCTATGCTAAATTGCCCTATAGTTTTTCTGAAGAAGGGTCTAGGCCTGAAACATCAGCCTTCCTGCTCGTCTGATGCTGCTTGGCCTGCTGTGTTCATCCAGCTCTACATCTTGTTATCTCTGCCCTACAGTGTGCAGGTTCGATGGGTTAGCCATGGTAAATGCAAGGTTATGGGGATAGGATTGGGGTAGTGGGATGCTCTTTGGAGAATCAGTGCAGACCAAATAGCCTCTATTTGAATTGTAGAGATTCTACAATAAATATTGATGTATTTGAATGTTGTAAACATGAAGATGTATCATGTGTGAAATGTACAGAAATAGACAAGTAAAATGAACCCTTGATGAATATATTACCAAATCTATTTACAAAATTTTGCCAAAAATGATTAAATCTGTCAATCTCTTTTCAATTCATCAGGTGCTATGAAAAACTTTTCAGTCGCAATGCATTATTTAATGTTCAACTATGAGCACTGTAACTGGAATTTTTAATTAAGCTTTAGTTCTATAAGATTCAAAATTATTATTGTGATTATCAACATGATTCACTGTATATGGGAGCTTCCTATGCATAGTCGGACTGCTGTGGTTTCTACATGACAATTGTGAATATAGCTCATTAAACACCTTTGGTTATCCTGAGATAGTCAAAGATACTATATAAATGCAAGTCTTTTATTTCTTTAGGGTGAAGGATGAAGGGGTGTAGGTGTCAAAGAGGTGGCCACAATTGAATGAGATTGTGACTTATCTATTTCTGAACAGTATCCATCAGTTTCGGCTTCATATCTTTTTATCTTTAAGTTTAGCAAAATTTGATAAGTTGATTATAATTATTAATTGAGCGAGTGCCTACTGTAATTTGTGGGAGGGAGTGGCAAATATTGTTTGTAGAAACATATTTGAACCTTACTCCTAATGCCTGCCTGTGATTTTTCTTTTCTTATTTATTCTTTCTACAGGATGTGGGTGGTGCTGCAAGGTCAGTGTTTGTCATCCATTCCTTATTCGCCCTGTCCTATGGAATCTGCCATCATGTGTCAAAAGACTCTCTTTAACTAACCAGTAAAACTGCTTTCATAATCCTAAAACAAAACAATTCATCCCTTAACTCTCATTGGTAAGGGATGCAAGTCTGGTTTGTGAAATTTTGTCTTTGTTACCTTATATGGTTTCTCCTAGTGAGACAGTCAGAGTTAGGTATAAAAGGAGCTGAAGAAATAGGAATTGGAGTAGGCCTTTCAGCCCCTCAGGTCTGCTGCACCATTTATCAATATCGCCATCGATGTTCTAGCTCAATTCTATCTTTCTGTACTATCCTCCATGTCCCTTAAGTATGTGTGGTAGAAAGGGGAAGACGACGATGATGGTCCATTTAAAATGGAAATGGGAGGTGGCTCAAGTGGGCCACAAACACTAGCATGGACTTGCTGGGTGAAATCACTTGCTGCTGTGCCATATATCCTGAGTATATTTATCAGGCTCTGTTTTGAATATATTCAATGGCTGAGCATTGACAGGTCTCTGGGGTGGGGTTGGAGCAGGGTGGGAGAAAATTCCAAACATTTGACTGGAGAAAGTTCTCCTCTTGGTCCAAAATGGCTGACCGCTTATTCTGAGACTGTGATTCTGTGTTCTAGAATGACCAACCAAGGGAATAGTTCTTCAGCATGTGTACCATCAAGCCCATGATGTAATGAATATGTTTCCATTATATAACCCCTCATTTTTCTGAACTCCCAGGAATACAAGCCTACCTACTCAATCTGTCCTCACAGAACAATCCCTTCATTCCAGGAATCAGTGCAGTGAAGCTTTGTTGTGGTCGCTCTGGGGCAATTATGCCCTTCTTTCGGTAGGGAAACCAAAGCTGCATACAGTAGTCCAGCTGTGGTATCACTAAAGCCCTGTACAACCGTAGTAAGAATTCTTTACTCCTGCATTCAGCCCCTTGAGTATTGTGTTCAGTTTGGTCTTCTAGTCTGAGGAAGGACATTGTTGCTATTGAGGAAGGACATTGTTGCTATTGAGGCAGTCCAGTGAAGGTTCACCAGGCTGATTCCTGGGATGGCAGGAATAACATATGAAGAAAGACTGGATTGACTGGGCTTCTACTCACTGGAATTTAGGGTGGGGGTGGGTGCGGGGTTGGGAGTGGAATCTCATAGAAACATATAAAATCCTGATGACACTGGATAGGCTAGATGCGAGAACAATGTTCCCAATGTTAGAGAAGTCCAGAACTAGGGCTCACAGTCTAAGAATAAGGGGTAAGCCACTTTGGGCTGAGATGAGGGAGAACTTCTTCACTCAGAGAGTTGTGAACCTGTGGGATTCTCTACCGATGAATGCTTGTTGGGGTCAGTCTGATAGATGTATTCAAGAGGGAGCTGGACATGGCCCTCATGGCTAAAGGGATCAAGGAGAGAAGGCGGGAGTGGGATACTGAAACTGCACGATCAGCCATGGTCATATTGACCGGTGGTGCAGGCTCAGAGGGCCGAATGGCCTGCTCCTGCCACTATTTTCTATGTTTCTGTGTTCCTTTATCAAAGGAATGAGCTTACTGATTACTTACCTCGATGTTGCCATTTGCAACACGAGGGGGATCTCCACATGACACAGGCTGGCAACTGGGCAGCTGCCCGCTCCATTCTCCATCGGCCTGGCACATCCTTTTCTTATTGCCTTTAACATAGAAGCCGGTGTTACAAGTGTAGGCCACAATGGCCCCGAAGCTGTAGTTGTGCCCTCTGACATGGCCCCGCTCAATGGTCTGAGGCTCTCCGCAGCGCACGGGGATGCACTGTATGCTGAATGGTGATGGATACCACTCACCACCCCGGATACACTCAATGGAGGCTGAGGTGTTCAGCACAAAGCCTTCTGCACATTTATAAGTGACCTGAGAGCCGGCTGTGAATTTCTCCTTGCCGATGGTCTCCAGGATAGCGTAGGGTGCAAATGGTGGCTTCTTGCAGAAGTCTGCCACGCAATAGGGTGCAGCCTGTCCTTCAGGGGACGCCCAGGCCCCTCGGGAATTGCAGACCAACTGTGAGTTGCCCGAGATGCTGTACCCATCCATGCAGTAATAGATGGCAATGTCCCCGTACAGCTGGTGGCCTGTTTCAGGGAGGGCATGATCAATGTTTGGAGCTGGTCCACATGACACAGGAACACACTGTGTGGTACTCAAGCTCCACTCTCCACTGGCCAGGCACTCCTTACTCTCTGAACCTATCATTGTATAGCTGTAGGGAGAGAAGGGAGATCAGAAAATAGGTTATACTGGATGCTGGAATCAATATGGTATCATACAAGTACAAGAGCAATTTGCATTCACATAGCGCCATTAATATTCCAAGTAAAACATCCTGAGGTACGTCACAGGAGTGTTATCAAATCAACTGTTTCTGCTTTTTTTCCCATACCCTTTGATCCTGTTAGCCCTGAGACCTTTGTTTAACTCCTTCTTGGAAACATTCAATGTTTTGGCCTCAACTGCTTTCTGTGGGTCACACTCTCTGGGTGAAGAAATTTCTCCTCACCTCAGTCCATATCCTTAGACTGTGAACCCTGTTTTCTGTGAACTCCACTCACCATGAACATCTTCCCTTTGTTTACCCTATCTAGTCCTGCTAGAATTTTACAGGTTTCTATGAGATTCCCCCTTATTCTTCCAAATTCCAGTGTATATAGCCCTAACAGACCCTGTCTCTCTTCATACATCAGGCCTGTCATCCCAGGAAACAGTCTGGTAAACATTTTTTGCATTTCATCCATAGCCAGGACATCCTTCCTCAGATAAGAAAGCCAAAACTGCTCACAATACTCCAGGTGTGATATCACCAAGGCTCTGTACAACTACAGCCACATATCCCTGCTCTTATACTCAAATAATTTCACTACAAAAGTCAACGTACCATTTGCCTTCTTCACCACCTGCTGCACTTACATGGTTACTTTAGGTGACTGGTGTACAAGGACAACCAGGTCTTAATTCTTCTTTCTCAAGCTATCAACGTTCAGATAATAATCTACCTTCCTTTTTTTTGCTGACAAAGTGGTTAACCTCATATTTTTCCAAATTATACTTCGTCTGCCAAGCAGTTGCCCACTCAACTTGTCCAAATCACAATGAAGTTTCTCTGCATCCTCTTCACAGTTCATCCACCCACCTAACTTTGTGTTGTCCGCAAACTAGGAGATATTACATTTAGTTCCCTCAATTAAATCATGAATATATTTTGTGAATAGCTGGAGCCTAATCACTGATCCTTGTGGTATGCCACCAGTCACTGCCTGCCATTCAGAAAATGACCTGTATCTTCCTCCTCTTAGTTTCCTATCTGCCAGCCAGTTCTCTACCCATATCAGTACACCACCCCCAGTTGAATGCGCTTTAACTTTATCTGCTAACCTTTTGTGTGGGGCCTCATCCTCCCTATAACCTGTGTCTGTGTTCACACTAGGAGCCTATTGGATGAGGGCACTGGTTGAGGTTCCTCCAGTGCTAAATTCTGGATTGTAATACCTACCTCAGTTACAGTCACACCACCTCCCCGACCCTGATCACAGATTAAAATTATTATATTTAATGAAAAGAATGCGTTACAGTACCAGGGACCCATGATCATTTCTAACATCAGACGACTGTCTGTGTGGAGTTTGCACGTTCTCCCCGTGTCTGCGTGGGTTTGCTCTGGGTGCTCCGGTTTCCTCCCACAGTCCAAAGATGTGCAGGCTAGGTGGATTGGCCATGCTAAATTGCCCGTAGTGTTCAGTGATGTGCAAGCTAGGTGGTTTTAGCCATGGTAAACCTGAGTACAGGAATAGGTTGGGGGGTGTGGGTCTGGGTGGGATACAATGTGGAAGACCAGTGCAGACTTGATGGGCTGAATGGCCTCTTCCTGCACTTTAAGAATTCTATGATGTTAATGACTATCCCCTGAAACACGTTGTCCAGGTATCTCTCCCTCTCCCTGATGCGTTGCAGTGTTTACAGCTGACACTCCAGCTCATGTGCTCTCCTTCAGTGGCCAACACTTACTGCTGATGGGATCACCATGGAGCACATCAACATCCACAGGCTGTCCCTCCCTGTCAGTCAGAGGCCACTCCTTTGCCTCTCGCCCATGCCTCTAATTGCACCCAGATTGGGATAACTGGAGCCCCCTTTCCCAACCCAGCATACAGGTCACTCTGTTTCCCATCAGAACTAACCACCACTCTCTTGCCCAATGGGTGAGTCAGGTGATTGGAAATGTGGTAGGCTGAAGTCAATAAGTGGCTACTGGTTGACCCTTTCAGTGTCTTGATTGCTGGTGAGTCAAAAAAGTCCCCAAAAGTCTTTCTCTATTGGTCTGCACAGGCAGCGGGTGCCACTCCACTGGTAGGAACTACTGCAAAACCATTCCTCATTTGGGAGGCAATCACTCTAATTGGCTGCTTCTGTGCAGTAGAAGCCATCCTGTCATGAGCCCGAACCTGAGAAAGTGTGTGTGGTTCCCCCATGTCCTGGGACCCCTCACCTCCAACCTCATTTCCACAGGTTGTGAAAAATCCAGCTGAATGCTTTTGTCAGCATTGCATCCAATGCCTGAACTCTGTTCATCTCCATAGCTGGAGCATGATCAGCTGAGTTGCTTACTGTGTTTATTTCAAAGCCACCTTTGCCTATGATCCTTTTTAAATTTATGCCTTTTGAGAAGAATATAGAAACCTTTGTTCTGATATAATTATGCTTTCAGACTATAAGGTGTAACTAGGCCATTCAGTCTACTGAGTCTGCTCTGCCATCCAATGAGGTTATGCTTAATCTGATAATCTTCCACTCGACTTTCCTGCCTTTTCCCCATTTTCTTGGCTCCCTTACCCATCAAAAATCTGTCTCAGCCTTGAATAAGTCTCAATGACCCAATCTCTATACACTCCTCTTGAGGTAAAGAATTCCACAGATTAGCAATGTTCCTACCATATATGTACAATATGTCCGACAATTATCCAAAGTTTATATATGGCCCAATTACTTGCACGGTAACCAGTGAAGCAAGAGAATAACATTGATTGAATTACGTTTTATCAGTTAAAACAAAGAAAATGGGAATCACTTCTTCACTAAAATTCCTAGATCAGTACATGTTTTGGGGGGGCCTTAGTGATTTAAATGAGTACAGGTTGTGTACTCATGGCTTATGTTTGCCTGAGTATAGGAGGATGAGTGGTTGATCAGATTGAGATGTATAAAATTCTAAAATATTCACCAGGGTAAGTACTGAGAAATGATTTCTGACGTTAGTGAAATCTAGAGCAATGGGGCAGAATCTTAGAAACAGGTCATTTCAGAGGGGAGTCAGGAAGCACATTTTCACACAAAGTATACTAGAAAACCTCTCTCCTCTGAGAACAATGCTATGGCTGGTTGGGAGCTTTGAAGACCAATAGATTTTATAATGGGAAGTTTTACATCAGACATATGACTCAGAAACAGACCATTCAGCTCAACTAGTCCATGCTGCGATTTAAAATCCACATGCAAGCCATGTTCCTCATTTAAGTCTACCAATGTACCTCCTTCCCCCTCCATATCCTTTTCCCTTATACACTTGTCTAGGCTCCCTTTAAACAGATCTGTGCTATTCACCACAACCACTCTCATGCTCGCAAGATGCACATTCTCACTACTCTTTGTGGAAAGCAATTCCTTCTAATTTCCCTATTGGATATCTTGGTGACTATCTATTGATAGTATCCAGTTCTGCTCTTCTCCACAACAGGGAAGATTCTCTTTGTTTCCATTGTATCAAAACTTTTGTAACGTCAAAAACCTTTAAGTCATCCTTCAAGTCCACTTCTCTCAAGAGAAAAGAAACCTGGCCTGTCAATCCTTTCCTCAGGTTTATCTGTCTTGGAATGTCAAAGGGTATGCCACTGAGGCAACTGGATTAAGTTGAGGTTACAGAGCAACCACAACCTAAATTAATAGTGGAACAAGCTCACAGAGTAGAACAAACTCATCCTGTTCCCAGCTGCTAAATTTCCAATTTGGAACAAGGTCATTTTTTAAAAGATTTAAGAAAAGATCTTACCCTTCCTTGCAGCCATAGGAAATTGAGCTTCCAAAGGTGAAGTTATTTCCGATAATGAAAGCATTGGGAAGTGTTGGTGGAACCCCACAGGAAATGATCTCACACACTGGTGCGGTGCCATTCCATTGGCCAGTGCTGTTACAGGTTAGTGTCGATGGTCCCTGCAATCTTCAGTGAGTCAAAAGAGGTTAAAAGGAGCTGCAAGTGCACCATATCAGATCGTCAGATTCGTATGATAACTTGGACTTATACAGTGCCTTAGCATTTTGAAACACACCAATGTATTTAATAGGAGAGTAATAAAACTATATTTGACACCATGCACCATTAAGGGGCATTTGAAAGACAATCAAAAGCTTGGTCAAGAGATTAAAGGAGGAGAGAGATAGCAGGACCGAGATGTTGAGGTATTTAAAATCAGGAATATGCAAGATGCCAAAATTGGAGTAGTACAGATATCTGGGAGATCAGGATACTGCATCAAAACCATGGAAAGAAGTAAGTTTACTATTCACTCTAACAGTTAACTTACTGATAGCCACTGTCGCAGGTGTATGAAACTGTAGAAAGGTACGTGATCCCGTTCAAATCGTATCTACCACTGTCAGTATCCTGTGGGGTAGGGCACATCAGAGGTTCACAAGTAGGTGTTTCATGACTCCAACTACCATTTGCTAAACAAGAGATTTCTGCTGCTCCAGACAACACATATCCCTTATTGCAACTACAAAAAGGAAGAAAAGTAGCATTTATTCTTTGTGTAAGAAAGGATAGATAAATAAAAAGAATCTTTGGCAAACTTTCAATCGAATTACATTGAATTTTAAAGCATAGAAACAGGCCATTTGAACCAACGGATCTATTTCAATGTTTAAAATCCATATTACTCTCTTCCAGTCTCTCCTCAACTCAGCCTATCAGCATATTTTCCTTCATCTGTTTATCAAACTTCCCCTTAATTACATCAATGCTATGCACCTCAACTATTCCTTATGATATTTCTTCTGTTAAGCAAATAAGCTCAAATAAGAGAAAACTTAAACTATTACAGTGTGATCTATCAATGTCTGAAAAGCTTCAACACAGGTTACTTGGCTGATGTTAAATATCACTTTTCCTCAATCACATTAATATGTGATAATCAACAATGCAAATAATCAAATGTCAGAAAAAGTATAAACCACACCACTGAGGAAGAGAATTAATAATCAGACAAATTGATTGTGTGAGACCTCAGAAGAAAAGAATATTTAATTTATGATAATTCTGATGTTAGATGCTGTGAAGATTCTGCATTGGCCCAGACATTTGCAACCAAATGGAATCCAGAATCGAAATGCAGAGACTCCAGGGAGACGTAACAAAGAGTTACTGAGGCTTGGACTTATGGAGAACATGGTCCCCACTGTCATCACCCGCTTCTCCCAAGTTAGCTCACAGTGAGCTCAGGCAACGCCAGATATGGGGGTGGCACAGTGACTGACAGGGACCTGGGTTCGATTCCTTGGGCAACTGTGTGTCTGGAGTTTGCACATTCTCCCCATGTCTGTGTGGGTTTCCGCCGGGTGCTCCAGATCCCTTCCACAAACCAAAGAAGTGCAGGTTAGGTGGATTGGCCATGTTAAATTGCTCGTAGTGTCCAGGGATGCGCAGGGTAGGTGGATTCGCCATGGGAAATGCAGGATCCTAAGCTTGGTCTTCAGAGGTTCAGTGTAAACTCAAATGGCCTGCTTCCACACTGTAGGGACTCCATGAGTCTATGTGCAGCCATTTGCTTCAGTTGTTTGGAGTGCATTTTGGCTCACGTTACAAGTAGATGCTGAGCTGGGCCTGGACTGTACAAATTTGGGCAGGGGGTAGCAAGTTTGGTTGAGCTTGAATGTGATGATACCAGAAAGGAATGACCTACCGACCTATTTGACACCCAAGTCCATAAGTGAATAATGGCCACTTGCATGAGGGTTGTTTTCCAGTTCCAGTCCCAACAAGGGGCTATCAACTCGAACTCAGTACAATGAGAAAATTAGTGGGAAACAAACCAAAAAGAGCACTGCATTGCCATGTTATGACTTAAGCTGGATGTGGGAGAGGGACATTCTGACTCAGGTTCTTGTGCAGTTTTAGAGTGGATCTCGGGCTGAGCCTATACCTCAGTGAAAGGAGATTGGGATCTACTGGCCCTGTTCCCACGATCCAGCAGGGCAGGCAAGCTTCCGATGTGAAACTCCTGGGACATAAACGGTTATATATTCAACCAGGGACATTTAGAATTAGAACTGCATGAGCTGTTAAAGCTGGATTTTTAAAATTTACTCTTCTCTTTATAGGAGGCTCCAATCTGACACTGACCTCAGATTTAATGCTAATATATCAGTGATAGCACCATCGCTGGCATTTCGTGCTGCTTCTGACCTAATGGAGGGAAGGTGATGGAATCAAAAATGATTGAATGGGGGACGCTACCCTGTGGAACTCCTGCAACGATGTCCTAGGAATGTGATGATTGACTTCCAACAACCACAACCATTTTCCTTTATGTTTGGCAATGACTGCAATTAGTGGAGAGTTCTCTGACACCTCCTCCCACCAATTCCCATTGACTTCAACTTTACGAGGTTGTGAGGAAAGTGTGAAGGAGGTATGGAAAGAAAAGGAAACCCTTTTTAAAAGATCTTTTAGTACCTGTACACCACCTTTCCACCAAAGGTGAAGTCAATCCCTTCAGTTGTACCATTTGTTGGAATACCAGGTATCCCACAGGATCGTGCTAGGAAGAGAAAAGTCACATTGCCATAAACAAACAACGATATAAAATGATAAAGCTAAAACTCGAGTGTGGGATATGGATATGACTGTGCTCAGAGCAGAAAAGCAAACAGGGATGACTGATGGTCTTCACTGAGGATGTGAAATGAGGGACTACAAGTTGGCAGCTCCCCTTACAACTCTTTCCTATGGACTTCAATGGAAAGTTAATCATGCAGGGAATAAAACTCATCTCAATTCGCTATTGTCTTTTCTGTAATTTCAATGAAGATCAAATTCCCTCAAAGCCCTTGCCATAAAATTTATCCATCTTTAGTCCAAACTCAAAACAGGCCCCACCAAGCAAACATGCCTAGTTAATTTGTTATGATTTTCCAGAATATATTTGGTTCAGGAATTAATTTTCATTACACAACTTATGACTTTGATATTCTTTCTTGTGGCATTTATACTGATACTACACTGAGGGCAAAAGCTGTGGTATCAGATTGTGAGATTCTTGGTATAGACTGATGAACAACCTTAGTTCAGTCCACAAGCATAATATTGAGCTTCCACTCACTTGCTACTTTAGTTCTCTGCGCCAACTCTGACCTCTCTATTCTTGGCCTCCTATGCAACTCCAACGATGATCAACATAAGCTCAAACAACAAACCTCATTATGTCACTAGGCACTTTATAGCCTTCTCGAGTCACCATTGAGTTTAATCACAGTTTATTCAAAACAGAAAATGTTGGAAATATTCAGACAGACAGGCAACATCACTGCGGACAGAAAGCAAGCTCATATTTGAGGTAAATTACCTTTAAACAGTACGGTTATTATGAAAGATCATTGACATGAAGAATTGATTAACTCTGTCCTTTGTTATGAGCAGGCCCCCAGGTAAGGCTCCCCAATTTATTACAGTTTCAGACAGGATACTCCAAATTGTCAAGCTCCCAGGTGAGGAGGAATGATCTGGCTTGCCTTTTATATTCATCCATCCCCTCCGTTGGTCAAAACAGGCTTAATTTAAAAACAAACCCTCTCTTGTGGATACCTCGCTCCTAGACCTAAATGAATTTATGTTTTGAAAGGAGCTAATTTAATCAGGCTGACTTCAGTTAACAAAGTAGTGAGTTTATTAGTTACTAATGTGAGAAAACAATAATAATGTATTTCACATGTGTCTTGACTCAAAAGGATGTAGGTACAGAATTTGGGAAGATAGGAGAGGTCTGGATGCAGTAGAGACTGTTCACGGTTGTGCAAAAATCAACAATGAGAGGGGACAGATTTAAAGAGATCTGAAAACTTTGGAGCTGTGAGATGTGAAAAAATCAAACGTCCTCATATAATAATAATTAATGGCAGGAGAATAGAACTAAATCATAATGCTTATTAGATAGTGGGCTGAATGGTCTCCTTCTGCACCATAATACCACAGAGATTAAACCCACATTGCTGTCTCTTTTTCCGTCATGCTCAGCATTTGAAAGATTTGGAGATGTTTACAGTCTAGTTGGTAGTATATTTCTCCCATTGAAGCTTTCTCAACACCTTGAGGTACAATATTCCAGGGATCCTCTCCAGACATCACTGTATTAACACCCAGAGTGAGCTTTTGGCAGTATTTCCAAAATTTTCTTTTCTTGATTTCAATTAGTATTTTGCTACCATGTTTGCACAGTCAAGCAGCCATAGATGCTGCAATAAAAGCTCCAATCACTATGGGGACTTAGAATCAAACCAAATACTGCCAGACTTTCTGCCTGGGCTTATTTTAACTGTCCTTCAAAAGTGGCAATTAATGCTATTCATTCATCAATGTGAACCCAAAGGTACTGCATATGCAACGGTGTTAAATTTCAAGCATGATCTCATTGAATGACAGCAGCATATTTAAATGGCTAAATGAGTTCAGTCTGTTTCTACACCCAGCATCAAAAGTGTTTAACTTTGATTTTACATCATAGTCAATATATTCAATGTTTTCTTGGATATTATTTAACCGTTTACTTTGGTTCCAGAACCATCTCCTGTTTCCACATTTCTCAATTTACTTACCTTTTTTTTGCCTTACACCATTACGTTCTATCAGGTCACAGAGTTCTCCCTTTGGCTCTTGCCCTTTTATCTCTGGCTCTAAATTTACTTAAAATCATAAAACCCATGGTATAGATGGAGGCCATTTGTTCCATTGTGCCTGTGCTGGCTCGCACATCCTTACTTTTAAATCATTACCCGGTACAGCCTTTATTCTCAAATACTTGTTCAACTCCCTTGTAAAAGTACTCATGAAATCAACTTGCACTACCATTCAGATAAATGATATCCTGGATCTTGATCATTTTGTGGGTGAAACATTTCTCATCTCCCCATTCGAGTCCAATGATTGTAAATCAATGATACCTACTTACAGACCTGGTTGTCAATTGTAAAATTTACTCTGTACTTACTCCATCAAAGCAACTCAGCAAACTTTACAACTCTATCAGCCCACCTTTTGCTCTTCCTTGCTCCACACAACAGTTTTAGCTTCCAACAGCTGAAAAACCAATCCTCAACAGGTATCTTCCTTTTCTGATGCAGGCTCATTGACTGAAATCTGAAATCTATTGCACTCTCCACAGTATGGCCTAACCTGTTGAGCTTTTTCAACTTTTTCTATTTTTATACCCTATGCATGGAGCCTAGCTGAAACTGCCCAGGGCTAAACTCTACACAAATGCTGTTAAACTGCATTAATGGATCTCTTTTCCCAAATGTTTGGAGTTTACTGGGACCAAAGTCCATTCACTCTAAACAAGAAAATTAAAACCAGAAATGTGTTAAAGGTGCCCGAATAAAATTCCTGTAAACTTTGAAAACTGGTTTTGATGGAGCCCTGCAGATAGGCTCCACTTAAGCTCAAAACGAAGTGTTATGCAACAATCAAATTCCTACATGATCTGGCATCTGTTTCCTGAAGAGAGTTTGGAAGTCAATTCAGTTTCTACTTTCAAAAGTTTAAATACATCAACAGAACGTGGTTTAAGGAAGAGCGATGAGAATGCTCCGTCGGTGCTAGTGGGAGTTTCAGGTTAGATTTTGTCCTCAAGTGTCTGGAGGGGACTTGAAGCCAAAATCTGCAGAGCAAGAATGTCCCCCACATAGTCAGAGCTGACAGTACAATGCATCTGGATGGGTACATGAATGGGAAGGATTTAGAGGGATATGGGCCAAATGGTAACAAATGGGACTAGATCAATTTAGGAGATCTGGTCAGCGGGGATGAGTTGGACCGAAAGGTCTGTTTCCATGATGAATAACTCTATGATTCTAATGCATTACAAGGGTGTGTTTTCCACCGTCACTTCATTTGCTGCTCCTCAGTTGATGCTGGTAAAGTTCCCAGATTCTATTTACTTACACATTTTTCAATTTACTCCTTGTCCTCTCTTGGAACTTGGTCTTTAGGAAACTTCTCTTTAAATGTTTATCAATTCGTGCTGCTTGTTGGTGTTGTTGAGTTTATCATGCTGCTTTATATCTGATCATGAACTTTTGAAAGATTTCTATTCTTCTGAAATGTAAACACCTGCACATTTACATAGATTTAAGATTTTGGGCAAGTGTGGAGAGGGAATGTGAGAAAGACCATCGTTTAATGCAGCGAATGGTAATAACATGGAGCTGTACAGTATGAAGATGGTGGAAGTGGAGACATCCATGGTTGCAAAATGAAATTAGATGAGCAATTGTGGGAAAAGTACTTGCAGGGCATGTAGATGCATTGGGAGAGAGGGACTGACTGGATTATTCTATCTGCTTATACAATATAGAGACAAAATACATTCATCTTGTTTTGTGTGTACACACCTTATGACTCAGTTTGTAAATTGTACAACTTATTATGGTATCTCCCTGGAGGTAAGCAAATTGAAACTTACAGCATCTTACAGCACAGAAGTAGGCCATTTGACCCATTGCACAGAATCTTTGAAATATTCTACTCCCACCACCGTTCTTTGGATTGGACCTACTGGGTTTGTTACAAATGGCATGAAACTAACATTAAGTCATTTTCAGGTGAATTGAGTATCTGTTGTTTGACACATTTTAATAACCATTCTCATTAATTACCCATTAAAATGACCAATTTATTGCATACAAATTTATTTTACCAAAACTCATGTTTAAACTTCACCTTTCTGAAAGTTGCTTACTGGCCCAACCCCTCCCCCCACACCCAGCCTAAACAAGGGAGAAATTGAAATGTGGATGCCCCCAGCCCAAGCAGAAAGTTTGGACAAACCTGTTTTAGATAGAACTTGCATAAAATAAGGAATAACGGCTTCAATAACCCAGAGTCTGCCTTGGAAGCAAACATTGACTTGACTATATGACCGTGATGTGCTGTTCAACTTCCTCATAAATGGACTTGAGAGGCACAATCACGGGGGAAAGAATGGGCAACTAATCACCAAGTACTTTCCATATAAATTCCAGCACTTACTACCAGTCAACACCAAAGTTAACTGACAGAAATTTCAACCCTTTCAATGTTGGGTTTTCCTCGCTCAGAATAAAGTACTCTCACCATTCACTGAATTGCATGCAACTTACAGCTCAAAAATAAAGGTAATTTGGTCTAACTAATTGATGTTAGGTTCCACCCTTCCTAGTTCATCTCTACAAATCACTGTACTCATTTCTCCATTGTATATTTATCCAGTTTCTTTTAAATGAATCTATATTGTTCACCTTAGACATTCCCAATGGCATGAAGTTCGATATTCTATTCACTGTTTAGGTAAAAAGTTTCTCCTAAATTTCTTAACAGATTTATTAAATATGATTTCACACTGGCAACCATGAGAACTGGGCAGCCCCCTCAAGGGAAGAACTCCTATTATGTCAAACCCCTTCATAATTTTAAATATCTCAATCAGATCGCCATCCACCGGGCTCTCAGTTCTGGTATTAATCTTGTAAATCACTTCTTTTGCCCTCTTTTCCAATGTCTTTCACAACAACAGGTCGTGCCTCTGGTTACACACCTTGGCAATGAGGTATTGTATCACTCCACAGTCCATCCTCTAGACATGTGACAGTCTTAGTGCCATTCAATTGGTATCCTTCCTCACAAGAAAAGGTCACCTGACTTCCAACAAAGTGCACATCGCCCTGAGCCAATCCATGAGCAGGTCTCCCAGGATCTCTACAACTAATTGGATCTGAGGAAGTGTGAAAGAAAGAAATTAAGCCATTTCTACACTGAATCACATTCAATTTACAGTACAGAAATACGCTATTCAGCCTAACTGATTCCTGCTGGTATGCATGCACCACACAACCCTCAGTCCACCACCCCCTTCCTTGCACTCAAATGACATTTTCTTCTATTCCTTTTTCGTTCTTGTACTTACTTAGCTTCCCTTAAATGTATTCACCTCAATCAGTTCCTGTGGTATATTGCGTTTGCACTGCACACTGAATGAAGAGGTTTTTATATGGTATTAAATTTTCACACAGATTCAGGAAATCAATGCAAATTGAATAAGAAATAAATTTTCAGCTTATTATTTGGCCCTTTTGAAAAAAAATTATCACCTGCATTAAATTCCATTGCAGCATTTCAGCTACTTTACAAATTCTTAATAATTATTCCATTTCTCCATGCAGGCCAAATTCCTATTTCAATAACTAACAAAAGTTGTACAGCAACAAAGAATTTACTCGGTTTTCCTGGCTGTTGATTGTAAGGAGGATCCTTTTAAGAAAATAAAATGATCACTTCATGACTATTGGCCAAATCAGAAATAGTAAGCTGTTTCTAATATGTAATGGTGTGTAATGCAGAGATTGGGAATTAAATTACCAGCAGGTAAAATAGATTTTGATAAAGTAAGCAAAGATGTTGCCGTATTGCCAAAAAAAAACCCAACTAGTTCAGTAGTTTCTTTCAGGGAAGAGAACCCGCCATACGCCCCTACCTTATCTAGATTGGATTACATGTGACTCCAATCCCAATAACACAACTAACTTGTAGTATCTTCAAATCAATTTGGGATGGGCAATAAATGTGGCCTGATAGCCTTTTGTATGTGTATGCTGCCTTTAAGCGAGTTCATCTTTAAGGATTCCATGTGCTGAGTGTGTACAATATTGTAACTCTGCCTGCTGGTTAGTCTGCTGTGAGTTTGCAAACTGCATGCACTGTCATCAGTTGGCTTGCTTGATAACATAAGGTGGTTTACTGTTTTAAATAATCTAATTCATGATATTAATCGATCCCTGGTGAGAGATCAACTATTAGACCATTATCATTAAACACGATCACAGCAACTGTACCAGTGCAGTTCTTTCCATCGCCAGTATATGGTGGCCTGCAGGTGCAAGTGTAGGACCCAACAGTATTGATGCATTCAGACCTCGTGTCACAATCTGACCCTAATGCACATTCATCAAGATCTGAAACAATAGATAACAATGATTTTTAATGAATGAGAGTGAGTGTATTATTAGTACGATATGCATCGGGCATGATAACGGAGGAAACGATAAGAGTGTAAATACAGTGACATTACAAAATAACCTGTGATGTGGAAATCTCAAAAAGAGGCTTGGAATAGTTCAAAAGAAAATTCCAATGAATGTGTATCATTTTAATCTAGATGTCCCCTTCAAAGCTGCTGCATTATATTTAGGAGTCAGTGTCTGAAATGGTACTTCATGGGCCTTATTTCAATATTAATCTAAGACCTGCACTCAACTCAGGCAGCCACTAGCAATCCATTTTTAAAAAGCCCCTCATGAATTTATCGACCCCAATACCTTTGCTGATTGGGTGTAATTTATTCCCTGTTGAATAGGATTAACGTTGCTGCAATTTTAAGAAGAATTTACTGTAGGTAAAGAAAGGTCAGTGTAAACCTCAGCACAAACATTAATGTATCCCCATAATCTTACTGCATTATGACTCAGCAAGTTGCATTTTCACCTTTGACTCAGAAGTTAATGACTTCATAGTTCCAAATCAGGGAGTGAATGAACTGATAATAACACAGCCACTCCCAATGCAGCATTGAGGCAGTGCTGCATTTTTCAATGGGCCTTGCAGATGAGATGTTAAACTGAGGCCCCATTTGCTGACCCAGATGGAGTTCTCTCCTTGTGTTCTGTGCCAAAATTTATCCTACAGTCAAACATTACTAAAACAGATGTTCCAGTAAACATCATGTTGCAGTTTGTGGGATCTTGCTGTACATAAATTAGCTGCTGCATTTCCTTCATTACACTTCAGAAGTGTAAAGTGCTTTGGGACACCCTGCGGTTTTGAAAGATAATCTCGAAATGCAAGTCTCTCTTTCATATAAGACATATTAAATTTAGTTCAGGTCCTTGGTATCAACTCTTAAATCTTTTGGGTTATGTTTTCTTTATCAACTCACCAAGGCAGACAGGCACAACACCAGTCCAATGTCCATCGTCGGCACAAAAGAGTTTGTAATCCCCCAGCAGGTAATAACCGTTGTTACACAGGTAGGAGGCAGCAGTGCCAAAGAGGTAATCTTCAGCAGCAAAGCTCCCATTGTCCAGGAAAGGAGGCGCGCCACAATTGATTCCTGAAAATCACACACAAAATAATAGGAACAGGAATTTGCTGTGTCTCTTCTACAGAAACTGTAATCCAAAATCGAAGACAAAACACAAATCAGAAACTTCCAGGAGTCTAAAGGCCTGAAGGCTGGGAAGAAATGTTTATATTTCAATTCAGATAATATCTCGCTGTATCTACCACGCATTAAAAGTCCTTGATTTGAAGAAGTGGAGGAGGGAAGTGATTCTCCTGAGTGTCCTTGTCCATATTTATTCTCTATCAATATCTCAAGAAAGCAGATTACCCGGGCATTGTTACATTGCTGTATGTTATGGGCAAATTGGCTGCTGTTTTCACAGCAGTGATGACCAAAGAAAGGTAAACAGAGACCAAACACCACTAAATGAGATTTAATATTTCAATGATTAATGACCCATTGTACAATAATTTCCAGGCAATGTTATTTACTTGAGTTTCATGATGTTGCTTGTACCACTGTCATTTTCCAAAGATGCTGACTCATGATGACAATGTTGTTTCACAGATTGCAGTCTCCCTCTAGTGCCTGGTCAATGTAACCATTCTTTATGTGTCAGCCTTGACTATATTATAAACTATATTTTCTTGTGTCAGTCTTAGTAGTGATTTTAGACAATGACCACTTTCCAGCAGGGGCCATTGGGCAGAATTCCAGATGGCAGAGGTTAATTCCAAGCTCCTTAGCAAGACCCTCAATGAGTGGTCTGGATGGTTGGGTTTGGAGATGAATGCCTGTAACGTGCATCTTTGCAAACAAAGTTTACAAAGTTGGAACAACTTGGCTCCAGATCTTTCCTTCACTTGGTTGTTAAGAGTATATCAAATCCTGTTTTCAAGTCAGAAGATTGTGTGTGCAAGTTCCCTTTTAGAGACTGCCCTGAGTCTTCTAGGCTGAGAATAAGGTGCTTATTATAAATTTCCTCTGATGCTTAAGAGTACAATTAAAACTGACATTCCCTTTTGAATACCTATAGGGTGACTGTACTGTTGGAAGTGCCAGCTTTTGAATGAGGTGCTTACTCACAGCCCCAAATACCTTTAGGCAGACATAGAAGACGGCGCTATTTTGAAGAACAGGAGATTTCCTCGCCTAATATTCATTCCAAAACAAGCATCGCAGAAAATAGATCATATGATCACTATCATATTGCCACTTGTGGGAGTCGCTGTGCGCAAACTGGATGCTAAGTTTCCTACATTATAACAGTGACCACGCTTCAAAGAATGTTTCATTGACTGCGAAATACCTTGTGACCTCCTCAGATTGTGAAAGACACTACAGAAATTCAAGTGAGAGGAGGTAGCAAGAACTGCAGATGCTGGAGTTAGAGACAGCACAGTGTGGAGCTGGAGAAACACAGCAGGCCAGGCATCATCAGAGGAGTAGGAACGAAGAAGGGTCCTGACCCGAAGCGTCAACTTTCCTACTCTTCTGATACTGCCTCACCTGTCACAGAAATTCAAGTCCTTCTTATTCTGTCTGAATTCTACACATACAGGTACTGTATTCCCCATGTGAGTCACTGCAGTTCCTGTTATCATCACAAGGATAGGTCACAGTTATCGTGTATGATAACTTACTTTCACAGTAGGGAATTGGATAGCTCCAAGCTCCAAGGTTTTGACAATGTTGCACACTGTCTCCAACAAGGTGGTAACCTAATTCACAAGACAGTTCAACTCTTGATCCCGGCTTCCTGTCAGAGCTGGACACTATGAGACTGGGCTGGGATCCTTCCAACTTGGGACAATCTGAATTTAAATAAAACACAAGTCAATGCAATAAGTCCTTTGCTACTTGTCTTATTTATAAGGGGAAGGAAATGTTATATATCAGGGTTAGTTAGTTATTGATGAACTTGTCAGTTGAAAGAGGCTAGAAATGAGGTGGAGCGGACCAATTAGTGATTTTTTAGTGATTGTGGCCGTCCATGTATTTATATTAGTAAGAAAATAAATTACCAGCACAGAAAATACTCCTGGAATTTTTCTTCACTCTTCCAACAATTCCTGACAGAAAATCAGGCCAAGCCAACACATTCCCTTTTTTAAGATCATCAGGACAAGCTGTGGCCAGGAACTTAACCTGAAAATGAGAGAACAGTTTATTTTAAATTCTTCACAGGGTGTGGCATTGTTGGCTATAGGCCAGCATTTATTGCCCAATCCTAATTGCTACTGAGAAGGAATAAAACTCTCCTTCAGGAAGTCATAGAGTTTTATTTGGTTACTTTCACCTGGTTAGCTGACTTCCTGTTTAGTTGCCTCCTTCAGTGTCACAACGACGCCACCCAGAAACTGGAAGAGCAGCACCTCATATTCTTCCTTGGGAGCCGACAATCCAATGGTCTCAATGTGGACTTTACTAGTTTCAAAATCTTCCCACCCCCGGTCTCATCCCATGACCAACCCTCCCTCTCATCCCCGCCTCCTTGACCTGACACAACCTGTCCATCTTCTCTCCCAACTATCCGCTCCTCCCACCGCACTGACCAATCCCCACCACTGCCTACATGCACTCACCTATCTCCATCCCACCTACCTTCCCCAGCCCCACCCCTCTTCTCTCTATTTCAGAGCTCCCTTCCCCCTCCCCCATTTCTGAAGGGTCCTGACCCGAAACGTCAGCTTTCCTGCTCCTCTGATGCTGCCTGGCCTGCTGTGTTCCTCCAGCTCCACACTGTGTTATCTCTTATTTATAGCAGATAAAGCTTTGTTTAAAAGTTTAAGTCCACCAGTAACAACACGTAGAATCCTACCTTAAGAATTTCAGCACATTCTTATCTAGATGTGGGCTCATGAGGATCTAAGTATGAGAGGATAACTCTTTGAAAGAGGGTCCCTGATTTACAAAAGATTGTGTTTATGAACACAAACCCACAGAGGGATGTGATTATAAAGATCCAATGTATAAATGTTTCGTGTACTTACGAACACCTATTTTGCATTGTGTTCTGACTTGCTACTAATTGACTTGCAAGCGGACTCAAGAATGGAACCCATTTGCAACCCAGGGACTGCCTGGATTTACTTATAAATATTTACCGTAAGAATTCTCAATCACATTATAATAATGAATACTGTACTTGCAGAATATCAAAGATGATCATAACGACTATTCTCCTTTACATCTGTACACAATGTTTAAATCCAACTTAAAAAATCTTGGACATTCAATCAAATCGACTTAAAGAAAACAGTACTCACAATCCAATATACTTCCTTTACATTGTCTTGTCTGAATCTTTATGGGAAGTTTTAGCGGTTAAGTCAACCCTGTTGTATCCTAAAGTGCTGCAGCTCTGTCTTGTGTCTCCTTTTATGTATGGATGTTGCCTTATAATTTGCGTCCATGGTAGGAAGAGACAGACTGTTTTGTTCACTATATCTCCACAAAAACAAGTCTTATCCATTTTGCTTATCATGATTCCTTCATGAATTTGTATGGTTGAACTAGTCCACCTATTGGGCTTGACGCAGGTCTTTGTCAACCTTCGAAGGCCCCTCAAAGCTCTGTACTTATTGACACCAATTTAAATGCTATATTTAGTGCATTTTATTGAAAACAATTTTGATTAATACAGTTAAAACCTTAATTTGTGCCATAATTTGATCAATTCCTTTACAGTATTATGTATCCTTTGCTATATATTCAAGGGAAAAAAAAGATAATGTCAGCATTTGATCTATGCCAAATTGTCTATGCATCTGGTGTACCCTATATCTGTAATAGAGGCAATATTATCATCAGGGCTACATAGGACCTTCTCTGTGACCTTTCAGTTCATAATCTATATCAGTCTTCATGCGCCTCTTCCTACCCCCTTTTTGTATCACCCTATCAGCATATTCCTATGTTCCTCCTATAGTTATCAAGTTTATGGTGTTCTCCTCAGTGTCCTACCCAATATTTATCCCTTAAACAATATCACCAAAATAGATTGCCTTGTCATTTTCTTGCCTTTCCTAAAAGACAGCAGCTGATTTGTACATTTCAAATGCGCATCGCTGGTTGTAAAGCATTTATTTGCAATTTAAGGAGGGTGTGAAAGGTGCAATATAAATGCAAGTCTTTCTTTCTTTCTTTCAAATGTGGTGATGAGTTAGGATATATTAGAGAGAAATGCCAAGCGTACAAGATTGTTCTTACCTGCTCTGGTGTAAGGACATAATCCCATATGTTTAACTGGCTCAAGGAACCCACAAAAGACTCTGCAGGATTAAAGCCTTCGCCTCTCTGATCCTGCTCCTGGCCAAGCACCAGCACTCCACCACCTTAAGAGATGCAAAGAGAGCACATCAGATATTGGGACAGCAGCTGATAGTTGCCAATTCCATTTGGGCATATTCTCGGAATTTTAATCATATGCCCTCCCACATCAGCCAGTCTAACAACCTTTTCCTTCCCACATCAAATTTGCTTTAAATATACAAATCTGTTAATAAAAATGCAATGGGCTTATGGCTGTTCCTCTGTACTTGCAGTGGAATCCTGCAGTTCCTGCAGAATCCAGGGCTATTCTGGAGGGCTGGCAATCAGATAATCAACAGCCAACACGGCCACCAACACTCAATATGGCCACCAACACTCAATATGGCCACCAACACTCAATATGGCCACCAACACTCAA